CCACCTGATTGAGTAGTTCCTGATCCACCTGCTTGACTAGTTCCTGAGCCACCTGATTGAGTAGTTCCTGATCCACCTGCTTGACTAGTTCCTGATCCACTAGCTTGAGTAGTTCCTGATCCACCTGCTTGACTAGTTCCTGATCCACCTGATGCAGCAGTTGTGTGTGACTCGGTGAAGGTCTGTGTTGTTGTTGTGTAGGTAGTTGGGGTGGTTTATATAGGATGTCCGACGTCTTGGTCGCATTTGTAGTATGGAATGGTTTGTTTTGTGGTTGTCTTTTTTGTTTGATTGGTTTTTATTTGTCTCGATGTGTGTATGTGAAATTGTTGGGGAAGTGTGACGATTGTGGTGTTATCTGTATTTGAAAGGATACATCGCATGGAATCGGTTGTTGCAGTGGGTGTGATTGTTGGAGTGGGTGAGAAGGGATTCAGTGGGAAAGGTGCGTTTAAATAGTGATTATTGTAAATGTCGTTTGCTAGCAGTATTTTGTTTTCAGTATATATTAGTATGTTGAACAGGTTTGAATTAGTGGCGCAGGCTGGTATGCTAGCAGCGCTTAAGTAACTCGACCGGCATACGGGTTCTGTTCAGCGACGGTGTGGCTTTTGATTTGTTTTAATGTTCCAGAATTATTTAGAATAGTCGTGAAGGTTCAGTTATCTATGGTGTTAATGTTATATATACTCAGAGGTGTAGAAGCTTTCAGAAAACGAAAATGTTTTCCGAGAAATGCAGTGTTGGAAAATTTGTCTTTGCATGAACAAGATTCAGCACCTCTGTTGGAAAGTGTCAAATTATGATTCAAAGGGGACTATAATTGCTTTGGGACTGTGCCCCTCGCCTTCCCCCGCGCATCTGTGATTTTCTGGTTTTGCCACTAGTTAGAATGAAGAATTATGTTGAAAAGGGAACTAAAATAGGTGTTTGGAATGTTGAATTAGTTTAAAATATGAAATAATTATATGCCTCATTGGGGAGTTAACGGGGTGCCTAAGTTGTATAGTTTCCAATGAAGTGGAGATCGCAACGATCTCGTACTGATTTGTTTGGTACATGAACTGCCGGTTTTTTACTATCTGATTCTGTTTGTTTTGATATAATCAATAACGGCTCCGGTGAACTGACTTCTGGTGTTGGTAATACTCAATTATGTTGTTTAATATTGATTTTAGTGTAACCTTTTGAGCAAATTTTATTGGAAAGTATAAACGACATTTTTGAGATTTCCGTTCCATTAATTTGTTTTTTAGGAAATGGATAGTTATGATCTAATCCTATTTGTTGTTGAAATGTTATGTGCAGTTGTATTGCATTGAAAACCAAATGTCGTAATAGGCCTCTGTATAAACTCGCACTTTTACGTTGATCTTGAGCATAAATCTGTATTCTTTTGTTTCGTATGGTTTAGATAGTGGAAAAAATCCTTCGGGTAAAATAGATTTCAAATTTGTTCTGAATATATCATAACGTGTAATATTATTACATTGAACTATTTGTTAACAATTTTGTAATTGTCTTGTAAGTATTGATTTGAGTTGTCCATTTGTATCAGTAGGTTTATTTAGAGTCGGTGATGGTGAAACATATTGTGTTATAACAGCATGTGTATCAATAGTTGTATTGCTTCAAACTTCAGCTAACCGTGCTAAATAAAAAAAGAATATTGAGAACAGAGTTCATAGTAAGCAAATTTATATAGTGTCTCACTACCAGCACATCGAAAATGTCGGTTTTTTGAACCTATATCTATTGTTTTTCCACTTTCATTTAAATGATTTCTCCAGTAATCATGTGGTAATATTAAACCAGATAAATCATGATTCAATGAAGCCATACGACGGTCAATTGGATTATAAGCAGAATGATCTGGTGGATTAGTAGTAACAAACAATGCATCGAAACTATTTTGTATAAATAAATCTGAACAACATTGTCGTGCTTTAGAAAATCTAGACTTTACATTAGATCTTCCATCAGTAAATGCAATAAAAATTGGTTTCATCTCACTATTACTATATGTGATTGTTCTCTAAATTCATCTAATGACTAACAATTTAATAAACCAGTGAGATGAGTAAATGCTCTTGAATGGTCATGTTTGCCAGATCTCACAGTTATATATGTTGGACCACTAAATAATAATTCTTCATCTTTAAATACTAGTGCACCATGTATAAATGGAATTAGTTTATGTTTTTCAGAAGTCACAAAATCATTATCAGATAATTCAGTTCGATACTCCAAATACGTTAATGATAATACTTGCTTTTTAGCAGCTGGTAAATATAATTGAACGCGAGCTCTACCATTTTGGCTAATAATAAACACAGATTCTGATCCAAATAACATTGCTAAATCATTTGAATATTTAATTGTAGCTGCAGCAAAATGAGAATCTAGGTGTGAATGACGACGAGCATTTTGTGTACGTATACGTTTAACTGGTACTGTAGATACATATTGTTTACTTGTAAAGAAAACGTACACTTAAAATTATTTATATAGGGGAAAGAAAAGAGACTATACAATGATTTTACCTTCCTTAGTATTTGATCTACGAGAAATTAAACGTAAATATGTAGCCGAGCTACTAATCCTAAAATTACGTTTTCAAATCTTTCAGATAATTTGCATACTGTTGTTATACTTCGTAATCATTCAGCTTGTCTTCGATCATCAGTTCCAGCAGATAGTGATGTAATATTGATGTTATTTGTAATAATGCTGATTGCTCAACTTTTAGTCTTAGACGAAATGGATAAGCTCGTTTAAAACGTTCTAATATATCATTAGCATAAGGAAGTTTATCAACTAATTGATAAATAACTTCGTTAAATTAAGAACGTCTTTTTCTTTTCCGTTGTTCATCCTATTTCAATAGACATGGTTTACCTTCTAATTCTTTTTTTCTTTTTTTCTAATTCATTGATTAGATTTAGATCATTATCTGTTAATAACCCACTAGATTTCATCAAATACACGATAATCACGTTATTTTTAATAGTTCTGTTGTAATTTATTGTATTTATCTGATACAGTAGACTTTTCTTATTTTGATACTGTTGGATAGAGCATCGGCTGCTCTATCGAATTATATAGTTTACATTTTATGTTCTCCGTCTCTAGTCCAAAAAATTTTTAAATCTCTAAAGACAGCTAAAAAAACTTTTGCACTGCAGCTATCCGATGAGAGACAGGGCATCTTTTACTTTTATATCAGCATTTTTATTTTAAAACAAAATATATCAGATTATGCAGCGTCAAACGCTCTACAAATTATATGCAACCAATTGTCCTCTACTTTTAGTTTTTGTTCTAAAAAAATTGACAACATTTTAAGCAGCCAAATTTCGAACGCGAGAAAATTGATTTTACAGCATTTTTTTCACCTTGTTGCATAATCATAAAAAATGTTTAATGTGTAAATTGTAGAGCTGTTCGCGCTGCATCTTTTGGTATATTATGTGGCAAAAACACAAAATTAAAAAAAAGTCTCTTCTATTCTCATAAAACAAAAACGTTTTTTTTTAATGACAAAAATCGGTTGCGCTGAAGTGTGCTTTTTCTAGAAAACAAAAGAATGCACAATTAATACGCTTGAACAGGATTATTATCGAGCTTTTGATGCTGCATCTTCCGATATATTTTGTTTTTAATTAAACGTACTGTGTAATGCTGCAGAAAACTTCTTAGTACTTGTTTAAGATTCACTAAAATTTTGGGCTAGAGCTAGAGAAATTAACTATCAAATTATGTGATTTGATAGAAGAGCTTATGCTCTATCTAACTATACTAAAATAAAAAAAATTGGTGTACTGCATAAATACAGTAAACGACACAAAACTATTAAAAATAACGTAATCGTAGTGTATAATCTTATTACTTTTTCACTTATATATGATTTAATTCTTCGGTAGTTTTAGTTTGAGCTGAGGCTTTTGATGACAATGATGTAATAGATCTTGATAAAACTAATACAATAAAATCTATATTATAATGTACAAGATTCAGTTCCGGAACTTTTGTCTGATTGGTTACAGAACGGAAAAAAAATATATACATATATATATATACATATACATATATGACTAGCCGACGATGACCATCTGTCTATATTGTCCTACTATCCTATATTACTATTATTATCTGCTCATTCATTAAAATAAAATAAAAGAATAAGACTTAATAAAATTAAAAAATCTATACTAAAATTTACAAGTTTTCTTCTGAAACTTTTTTTCTTATCCGGACTTTTTACATGCATGCCACACCTCACACTTGAACTTAAGCATTCAACTATCTATCTGCAAGAAGGTGACAGTCGGGAGGGGGAGTGAAAAGGGAGCATGGGTGAGCGTAGAGCACAGGGAGAATATGAGTAAGGGGAACAGGAATAACTGAGTAAGCAGGATATCAGTGGCGATGAAGGGAAGAGAGATACGGGAAGAGAATAATTTAACACTTGAAGTGGACAAATGAATTCAACTTTCAAGTTTGACACTATTCATTTTTTATTGAGTCAGTTTTCCCTGAAATATGAAATATTATCTCTTCACAGGGGTCTCTAGTTGAATATAATAGTTTTATTCTTAGTTATTATAAAACAAGTCACATTCGTTGGAAGACTCGCTTAGCTCTTTCTCGTAAAAATGCACCCTCTTCATATTTACTGGGAAAACCATTGAAAACCTTGCTCTCGTTTGTTGTTCCTTACTCTTAGCAAATACTCATATCCTATTCAGCGGTAAAATCAGATCAAAACATATTAGAGCTGTTGGTATGAGTGACTTGTCGAACTAGTCTTTAATGAATAAGTGAAGTGTTAGTAATCTTATATGCAAGAAAGCCAACCGATTATGGTCGCCATACTCTGCACTATAACCAGGGGAATATTTGGATACCTATAAAAAAACCTTACCCAAAAAGTGGATTTCTATCAGTTCACAACACTTTTTTCCAATTCACACTCGCTCACCCCCCTCCCTTCAGTAGTCTGAGCAAATGTGGCCCACATTCGAAGTCCCAGCATCCAAATACCTCAAGAAATGTCTTTTCTTAAAAGTTGATGTTCCATGATTCTTTGACCTTTCACCCACACCCATCCATCCCTAGCCGTGACTACCCAACAGACCACAGATTCGAACTCCCCGTATCAAAAAATCTCTACAAATATCTATTTTGAAAAATCAGTCTTCGATAGTTTTTTGATCCTGCGGATATACAAGCAAGCAAGCAATCAAACAATTTATGTTTACTGGACTCTTCTCTACGAGAAAGAGAATAATAATACAGTTATAGAATAAGTAGAACTTTAAGTACTTCAAATTCAATCGTCACTGGAATGAATACTATATTGTGATATTGATTAAGCAAGCATTCTAATGAACAGCAGTTATGTATCACTGAAAATACAAATAGCAAATACAACAACTAATAGAACATTAAGGATCTTTGTCTTTATAACTGTAAATAATGATGATAATAATGTAATCGATCTTGATAAAATTAATACAAAACAAAATAATTTCAAATAGTTTTATTACTAGTTTTGTAGAATGAACTAGAGCTTTCGATGCTTCAAGTATCGTCGTCAGTAATAATGAGAATACTATGTTGATGTTAAAATATACAAGAAATGGTGAACTATAGTTGTGTATGATTGAATGACAAGTGAAAAATCAATTTTATTGTATTAATTTTATCAAGATCTATTAGACTAATATCATCATTATTTATAGTTATATAGACAACTATTCTTAATGTTCTATTACTTGTTGTATTTGCTATATGTGCCAAGAGAATAGGTACACATCCTTTCAAATATACCCCCCCCCCCTTATCACATTTATCTTTCTCCTGTTCTGCATCTTTCGCTTGTTCTGTTTCTTTTCTCTTTCTTTTCGTATTCTGCTTTTTATAATATACTCAGTCTCAACACGAGCACTTCGGATGAAGGTTGGACTCAGCACGGTGACACAATTATTCTGTATTGTGTTGGAAGACTCGAAGACGGAATAGAGTCTGAACCTCAAGCTCAGTAAAGAAGCAACAGGAATCACTATTTTATTTTATTATTATTATTATATTGTCGTCGTATTTTCCTTTTATTTATTCAATAAAAGATTCATATTCATTATTTATTTGACGTATTCTATTTTCCGTTCCATTATATGTGTTTTCAGTGATACACAACTGCGGCTCATTAGAATGCTTGCTTAATCAACATCACAATATAGTATTGATTCTAATGGCGATTGCATTTGAAGTGCTGAAAGCTTCAATTACTCGATAATTGTATTATTATTATTTTACAACCAACAATGAAACTATTGTATTCAATTGCATTGTATGAAATTTCAGAATTTGAATTTGATCATTTTTCTCCTGGATTAATATCTGTAGATAAAGATAATCAAAAGGTTGAGTTAGACGATGGTAACACAGTAGAACTAGTTGAAAGCAATAATCACGATCTATAATTTTTGCTTGATGCTGTATCCCGAAACCTCGTAGAACACGCCCGAAGCAAAATATCCTTTAATCGTAAATTACTGAAAATAGCCACTTTAAATTTATTTTACACTTTCCTTCATCATTCCACAATTAAATTCCTTAACGAAAACCTTCGTATACAGTACATCACTGCTTCTGAAAATAGTTCCAAGAAACCATATAAATATTGTTCCCCAATACCCATGCAGAGTTAATCATCCACACAAATGCTCATTTTCTCTATCCACAACCAAACACTTATCTTCCCCAACAACAGCATATAACCACTATCAATATATAAACCTATACATTAAGATAACTATCAACAAACACAATCCATCAGCAGTAAAAACCACTTCCTAACACATACTAAGCTCCATTCAGACATTACAAACCATCAAATCAATCAATCTTTCTGCAATCTCAAATACAACACAACCACGATTAACCAACTCCGTGGAGCCTCGACATCAAACTTTCATCCTTCACCACCTCCGCAACCACCTGTTTTGAAACCGAACCGAACTCGCACATAACTTACACACCTCGAAACAAGAATCTATTCACACATTTCACAATAAAACAAACACCTCAACACTCAACATAACATCAAAAACTAACCAAACTTCTTAAAGCTACAGTCCAGAAGTAGAAACACATTTCTAACGCACTGCTCTTACAATTAACAAATTTCCACGAAACAACAGCAACCACCAAACAACGCTGAAAACTCGTCTGGACATCCTTCATGAACAACATCCAACACTGACTTCTGATCCAGTTGATCCAGATGGTGTAGTTGCCTGTGTTCCTGATCCTGTTGGAGCACTTGATCCAGAGAGTGTAGTTGCTTGTGTTCCCGATCCTGTTGGAGCACTTGATCCAGATGGTGTAGTTGCATGTGTTCCTAATCCTGTTCCTGCACTTGATCCAGATGGTGTAGTTGCTTGTGTTCCTGATCCTGTTGGAGCACTTGATCCAGATGGTGTAGTTGCTTGTGTTCCTGATCCTGTTCCTGCACTTGATCCAGATGGTGTAGTTGCTTGTGTTCCTGATGCTGTTCCTGCACTTGATCCAGATGGTGTAGTAGCTTGTGTTCCTGATCCTGCACTTGATCCAGATGGTGTAGTTGCTTGTGTTCCTGATCCTGATAATGCGGTAGATGATGTTAGGCTGGGTTCATTATGGACGTCTGTGAAGGAAGGTGGCATTTTGGTGATGAGTCTTCTCAAGAAGTCTGTTGCTGGTAGTGATTGTTTTTTGTTTGTTTTTGAAGATTGGGTGGATAATAGTTGCAATGGTTTTGTTGGATGTTTTGTGATGGGATATGGTGATATTGTTTTGCACTGATTTATCTAAGGGAAGTTTAGAATGTAATAGTGGTGTCCGGGGGTGACGCGAGTCAGCCAACATTGAGGAGATGTAACGAAAAAAATTTGAATTTTTAGGGGTGTAATGGATTTTTTTTGGTTTTTTAGGGGGGTAGCATGATCTTTGTTCAAGAACTAAAGATAACTTGCCGATTTTGTTGAGTAAAAAAAGAGAAATTGTCAAAGATTGGGGGGGGGGGTGTTACACCCCCGACGGCCTCGGCTCTGGTCGCGCCACCTTTGATGGTGTCATGAAAGAAGTAGGTGAAAATTTTAGTGGATATTAAATGAAGTTAGAGTATGACGCAGTGTTTATTTTTTGTATGTAGAGTATGATTTTTGTTTTGAGTTAACGATGATGCTGGAGGTTTTTTTTGTCGGCTGCGTATTATGTTGAATCATTGCTGTGGCCTGATATATCACCTGTGATATAGAATGGGTAATATGTTTTATTCGTTTGGTAGTGGTGACATTGTTGACTTCATAAGTGATGATGGTTGTGAGAAGAAGGTTCAGTCATGTAGTAGGATTGAAGACGAATAAGGAAAGATAGTGAGCGGTAGGAATTTGCTGTAATGGTTCTGTGTGGTTTCGTATAGCGGTTATAGCATAATAAACGTGAAGCGTGTGAAATTTGAGCAGACAGGTTCATGTAAACCTGTCTTTATATTATATTGATAAAGTTGTTGAATACTGCAGTAGCATTCAGTGATTGAAAACCATCACAGACGGTATTGAACTCTGTGGTATTTATTGATGATCGAAAAGTAATGAACGTATCAGGTTTTATTAAACTGTGGTGGGAGAAGATAGCTCTGCAGAAATAGATCGTTTTTGATCGTATGATCATCGTTTACTTTTGCAATAAAAAATGTGTTTATATCGCTATTTCTAGCGGAGAAGGAAGTGTCTCAGTTAAAACAGATTCTGAACGCTGTGAACCAAGTAACAATTTGTTATGAGAACCATATGAGAATGACACGAAAGTATGAATTATTGGAAGCAAAGGGAAGAAATTTAGGAAATTCTGACCTAATATTATTTTAATTGAGTAATGTGATCTAGCTCAATATATGTGGTATGGAAAGTGGTGAAAACAGTTTAGAATCTGTCTAGCCTAACGGAAGTGAATCATGGTGTGTTCACGTTCAATTACCTCACCGATATCAATTTATTCGATCTGACCAATCTAAAGTGTTCCTTAACTTAACTGAGGAGATTGATAATGATGTTTCGCAAGAAAAATTAGCGTATTATATTGATAACTTATTATTTTTTGGTACGAATGACATATCTGTTTTGGTTAGCTGCGATCTTGAAATCGTGAATAATCTGTTAAATAATACATAAAACGTATTATGACATTATCTCATTTTATCTGTTTATTGGTATATTCATTTCTATTATCACCGCCTGTCGTCAAACTTTTGTTGATGATACAGCAATGTCATATTTTTTGTCGCAAGAAAATGTTGTGTAACACGGAAGATAGAGAGTGGTACCGCTGCTTAGCAGTTCCCTAGTATGTTATATTCACTGGAACTTATAGTTGATGGTGTTGGAACTTTACCAATTGCTGCGTATCATTTTTTTCTGTTTTGTATCTTTATTTCTTCCTATCCCATGTATATACTATGGGGTGCTTACATTTCTTTTTATTCTGATTATCTCTTTCACGAAATACTGTCGTCTTCTCTCAAAACGTGTTGCGATTTTTATTTTACTTTTGCGTTTTATTATAACTTTATGTACTCTTTATTTTAGTCGGTTTCTTTTCTGATGTTTTCGTTCTGTGATATTATTTTTTCTTTTTCTCTGTCGGTGGAGGGGATAAGTGTTATGACTCATGACATGATATATCGCATGCCATGAAGAATGCGTATTCTCTTTCATTCCGTCACGTACTACTGATATCGTTGAATGTTCAAGGAGTGAATATTATGAAGAGAATGATGATTCTTATTTTATGAAAGAAGAAGAATAAAGAGTAAAAAGGAGTGATAACAAACATAGTTAATCTTTTAAATTTTCATCTATACGATTTAATTCTTAGAAAGTTTGAGCTATAGTTTTGAATTTGAATTTGATGATTTTTCTTTCGGATTATTATTTATTAATAACATTGATAAGAATGTTGAATTTAACGATGGTAATAAAGAAGCATTCGATGAAGGTGATAGTGTAGATGTATTATTTGTGCTTAATTTCGTATCTTTCAAGCTCGCAGACGTGTATTAAAGGGAAATACCTTTTTATCGCATATTATTCGAAAACTAGTCTTTTTAATTTATTCTCCGATTTTTTGTCAGAGTATTTTCGAAAAAGTCCATTCATATAGAGTATTTGCATACAACAGCTCGTTATTGATTTATATGAGATGATTGACAACACGCGTCCTGTCTTACAAAATCTTTATAGAACTGACTATGTATAGGATTACTCACTCTCTTTATCTAAAATAAAATAAATATCATTCACAACAAGAATAAAAAATAAATCAGTAAAAAACTCACTATCAACAGACAGCTACATGTAACGATAAATGATAAATAATGGACAAGAACTTGGAGAAACATTAAGATCGATTGATACCTCATAAAGCAACAGACAATTCGTTCTTTATGTGATCTATGATAGTATACTATAGCACTATCAGTGTTAGTAAAGACCCCTGTGAAGAATTAGAATTTCATATTATACGAAGAAATCACTCAATAAAAAGTGAGTACTGCCAAACTTCAAGTTGAATTCAATTGTTCACTTCAAGTACTAAACTGTTCTCTCTTTCCCTTTCATCATCACTAATGTTTTACTTGTCAGGTTACTCCTATTCCACTTATTCATATTCACCTTCTGCTGAACGCCCACCGATACTAAATATTTAATCTTAGCCTTCCCTCGCTGCAACCTTCTTGCACGTGGACAGTTGTGCGTTTAAGATCAGATCAGGCATGTGTCATATATGCCAAAACCTTCCACACGAAAAAACAAATTCAACAAACAATTGCAAAATCTTGATACCGATAATTTTATATAATTATGTTATACTCTTTTCTTTCGATTTTCATTATTATTTTACTCTCACTAATTCTACTACTTCACTTCAAACAGTGAGCAGACAATAATAAAACTACAAAATAGCCAGCTCCTATAAACATACACCGATCATCAGCATGTCATATATGTAAAACTGAATACACATATTCCAGCTCCAACCACTCAACAAAATGCTCCTGAATTCGACGTTTTCTTAATGTAAAATACATCACGCCAAACTAATTTTACCAACGCTACACTATTTAACTCTTTGCATACTCCATCTATCTATGATGTTGCACATTCATCCATCACCAATCCACTTCAACACATATCACACAATCATTCACCACAAAACCAACGATAATCTTCCACATTACATGCAACTCACACAAAAAAACGTATACAGTTTACAATTAAAAGCCAAACATAACTTAACCATTCCCTTCTAAAAAAATGACACCAATAACCACAACGGCAAACCGAATACTCTACCCGTCCGTCCTTACTGAATCACCCCATACACCTGCAGTAGAAGAATATCCTCCAGTTGTTCTAGACGAATAAACTTCAGTTGTAGTAGAAGTTTGTGCTCCAGTTGTTGTGGATGATTGAGCTGGAGTTGATCTTGACGATGATGCACCGGTTGTTGTCGATGAATAAACTTCAGTTGTTGTTGAATGTGTTGTTTCATGTGTTGTTTCATGATGCGTTGTTGCATGGTGTGTTGTTGGATGAGTTGTCTGAAGTGTTGTTACATGATGTGTTGTTGG